GTTCATTGCAATGTTGGAAAATACAAAAAAAAAAAAAAAAAAAAATAAATTGTGGCAATAAAATGTTACAGCTGTAAGACTAACATTTTTTTTTTCTGCAGCAAAACCGAAAAAATCTGGAAACCTTCAAAGCTTCACATGGCCATTACTACTCGTAAAATATAGTGTATTATTTGGATTTTAAACATTTATTGCCCACAGCGCATATTTACATACGTAGACAAATAATACAGCTGTTTGAATTGGAGGCCAAACTTTAGTGCGTACACCCAGTATCTATTGAGTGTAATTTTGGTTGTATATACATATTTGTCTATAAATTTGTATTTTTATCTGCAAAAACACCTGCAAGTGTAAATACATTAAATTAACGCATTCGTGCGTTAGCTGTCGTCGTGTCGCCTTGTGCGTTTATGTATGTAAAGTATATTTACATTGCAACAGTTGAACAAACATTGCTGTCACTACAACACTACAACACTGCAGCGATGCAGCTGTTGTCTTACTTTTTTGTTATTTTACCACGTTTTCTAGTTTGAACCACCTTTTGGGCAAACAATGTTGTTTATAATTAGCTCATCAGTGCGTAAGCATTTTAATTATACTGTGTGACAATTTTACAGCAATTCAAAACGAATTTCCAATTTTGTTTGTTTGAAGAGTTTTTTGAATCAAGGCAAAAAACGACCTTTTCAGGCGGGAGCTAATTGGTTAAAATGTTCCACGAAAAAATTCCTAATAAATTCTACGTTAAGTCTGCAAAGATAAGAATAAAATTTGAAGTCGTTTTAAACCGAAAAATCGCATACTTTAAAATTTTTAATCAAAAATTGCAAACTTTGACCTACTGCGTCGGCGCTCATGAAGTAATGAGCGGAATTATTACTCGCTTGGGTTTCAAAATATTACTTCCAGAGAGCAGAGTTAAAAGTGTAATAGCAAATATGCTGGCTGCCTGTTGTTGCCAAGCGTGGCTTTCATCTATCACATGATGACCGCTTGGGTTTTTCGATTTTTGATATGGAGGTAGATGTAGCCTTATAAATTTTTTTATACTGGAATCTAGTGCTACACCCTACTAAGTGGTGCGCCGCAATGAAGTCGATCTGACGTTTCGTTGTAGACGACGAATTCGCCGATGGTAATACAGAGATCATTGGTACTTATTCACCTATCGAATTCACAGTAGTCAGCGCACACTTCCTAAGTTAACAGACTCAGTGAATATGTATTAACTTATTTTTGTTGCACATTTAACGGAAATTGCACACGGAAATGGTTGGGACGAAAGTAAGTGCATCTTAAATGTATGCACATTGTATTAATTTAACAAAAACGTGCCAATAAAAGGTTAAAGAATAAGACTTAGAAAAAGACCATTACAAGAATGGAAGTGAAAGTACGTACATAGATTGAATAAAAGGATAATGGCAAAGGCAAAAACAAAAACAAAACCAAAGATGCGTACAGTTAAAGGCAAAAATGAAGATTAAGGTAAATTTGAACACTTTACTTACGTAAAGCAAAAGTGAAGGGGAATATGTAGAAGAAGGAAATAATAATCATTAAGCTAAAAGTAAAGATAAATATTAAGAAAAAATATGAGGATAAGGATATTGATAAAAGTACAGATGAAGATAGAGAAAGAAAGCTTAATATAAAAGTAATGAGATTCGAGACCAATTCGGGATTTTCGTTATATTTAACGATCTTGTTATCGATATTGTTTTCGATGTATTTATCGATATTGTTATCGACATATTAATCGAGATTGTTATCAAAACATTTAAAGATATTTTTATCAATGTAATAACTGGTATTTTTAATGATATTTTTATCGATATAAAAAAATATATATATATATATTTTAATTGACATATTTATGAACATATTTATCGATACTGTCAATGATGTAATATCTAATTTTTTATCGATATTTTAATCGATTTTGCTATCGATATTTTTATCAATATTAGAACGAAAAAGGAAGAGGTAGGAATAAAGATAGAAAAAAGATAAAATATAACTTTAAGCTTACAAGATTATATTAGGGCCATTCCAGCGAAGACGACACCTAATATAAAAAAAAAAATAAATTACAAAAATTGTGTTTAATCTGTAAAAATAGTAAAATAGGCAGAATAAATCTTTAGAAATAGATTTTTATCCATTTTTTCAGTATTTTCTCTATTATAGTATTATAAATGCATATGTACTTTAATATGTTTGCATCAAGTTTTCTAGGCATTCCTTATCTACTAAAGGTTGCTACCTTTTCATTGACAAAATAGTTATCCAAAAAGAAACAACAATCCATGAGCTTTAAAATGGTGGCGTGTTATTATAAAAACAAATTAATGGTGAGAAGTTATAAGCGTTCAAAAAATGCTTATTGGATGTCCCACCCGTAACAGCAAAATATGTATTATTTAACGTAATATACAAATTCTTAAGTTTCCTATTTTTAAATGAGGTCGCCCTATTAAGAATGCCGTTATGAATGAAATATTTATAGTTTGTTTAAAATTGGGAAATGAATCCAACAACTCAGAGAAGCGGGTGGCATTGTTGTTTGAGCAAAAACGATTTAAAATGTCCCATCCGTCACTTTGGACTGTCCCATTACCTAGCCTGTCGTTTTATTCACAATTTTGAACCAATGAAATGGGTATGTGAATACAGTGACGGCACCCATAGGCGGACATCGATGGCCACCTACTTTTTGTCTTTGTCTTTGGGAAATGTCGGCCTCTTTGATAATATCAAACTTCAAATAAAAAAAATGGGCATTTTGGGTTTTTAATTGAAAACAGTAGTTGCTCGTCAATATACAAAAACACGGAATGAGTGGAAAATACGTTAAAATTAGTGGTGTTTTCTTTCCTATCGAAAAAAGTTGCCTTCTCATTTTCCGCTACATATGAATATGTATATTTGTACCCACATTTGTACAATGGTTATGAGACAAAGTAGATACCTAAGTAACGTAAGTTTCACTTCTCCAGTGTGGCACAGGCGCACTTATTCTATTTAGTAATGCCTAGAAAAGGAACAACTCCACGAATTTCTGACAGGTCTATTTTCACTTTAATTTTTCCATATACCGAATAAGCTGGTATGCATTATAAAGGACAATGTTTCTGTTTTTTTTTGTATGCATGAAATCAATTTTAAATGTGGCATGCGCTTCATCTTTTTTCTTATCTTTACTAGCGCTGATTCTTTATACTTTACATTTCAACTTATCACTCTAATCACAGCTTTATTTGCACACAACTTAAAGCACAACAATTTTAAAAGCAACACGCTTTACGCTAAACAAATTTACGCTAATTATGTACATACAAATATTATTTGCAATTCTCTTTTCTCTCTCTTTTACTTGCAGATGTGCTAATAATTAAAATAAGCCAATTAACATATGCCACATATAAAAAAATTAAAATGAAAAGAGTGCAAGCAAGCGTACGCAGCTACTAAACCAACAAAATTATTAATAAAAAAATATATATATTTATGTACATATGTATGCAAGTATGTATAAATGTATGTATAAGCAAAAAATAATGTCGTTTAAATATTTTTAGCAAAAAAAATTAAAATGCCACCGCCTTTGCTGATGAATGCATGCAATTTTTTTGCGCCGCTTACAAAAGCCAGCAGCGTCCGCGCTAAAAACAATCGCAACAACAACAACAACACTTGTGTGGCACAAACACTTGTTGCGGTCAACAACGTCAACGCCTGTCTATTGGTTATCAGCGGCGGCAATGGCGTCGTCATAAGCAATGCATTGGAAGCAGCAGTAGTAGCATCACACGCGGCTGTTAGGAGGCGTTTGGTCGAACGTCACTGACAATGTGGAATTAATTGAAGAAAAAAATGTGTGCATAATATCGGCTAAGTATCAGTGGCTAGTCATGGGCAATGAATGAAAAAACGTTGTAACGAGCGCAAAAAACAAACAAAAAAATTAAATAAATAAAAAATTATCATGAAATTAACTTACTCGCAACATAAACGCGTTTTTACCAACGCTGACGCATGAAATGCGCAAGTGTATTGAAATAAGTTTATCGCAGATGCATGTTACGCTTTTGCAGCTGACTGATTAATTTTCATGGTTTTCTTGTGATTTTTCGCAGCGCCTGCACAAAACGACGCATGTAATCGATATTAGTTAAAGATTGTGCCATGCAATGCAGCAAGTAGGCGTGCGATGACGCAGCAGCAGCAGCTAGACGAAAGAAAAGCGTTGAATAAGTGCCAAAAAATTGCGAGCCAACTAAATAGTCAAAAAGTAAAAAATAATTAGGAAAAGTTTGAAAAAATGTATGAGTTTGCGAAAAAAGCGAAAGCAGAAAGAGTGATAAAGCAATTGTGGTAATGAAAGCGCATGTGAAAAGTAGTTTAGTTGAAAGTGTCGCGACGAAAGAGAAGGTGCCAAAAAAAATCCTATAAAAATGTGGCAACATGCTTTGCAACAAACAGCGTCACAGGTTTTTAGCTTCTCAGCAGCTGGTTGCACGCAATTCCTACTAAGCTAAGCTGTGCTGGGCAATGCTGTATACCTAAAACGGAAGCTAAGTGCAGTGCGGCGTTTAAAATCAGCCCAAAAATGTAGCTTAAAGCAACAACAAAAAAATGATTTAGTTAATTTAAATTTGAAAACAAATATATTCTACAAGCTGAAAAAATTTGTCAGAACAATAATATATTATAAATAAATGTTATAAGAATTTAAATCCTAAAGTTTCGAATTAAGAAAAGCTAATTCTTTACTTAAATTACTAGAAAAAAAATCGATTGTTTCAAACCCTATATCAATAGCTGTTAGCCACCTTTTAATAAAACCAAAAATATATTAGTTTAATTAAATTAAAAACAGCAACTAACAAAATTTGCCAACAAAAAAAAAAAAAAACTCAAATTAAATTGTGTTCCACTTGCTGTTTGTAAGCAAGCTAAAGGCGACAGCGCGCAACCCCACTCACCACACTATGGCTGGTCCACAAGTGCAACACTCACATTCGCAGCGCCCCAACAGCGCCTACTACATGGGATTGAATGGCGGTGGCAGTAGCGCCGGCGGCATGGCCAACAATGGTCATCACAGCGTGGGCGGCACGGAGTGCACGCACACAGCCAACACAGCGACAGGCATTAGCACGAGCAGTAGCGCGCACTCTGGCCTGCATGCGCTGCGTCAAATGTCCAACGACATGGAGTTAATATATCGCGGCAATACGGCCAATGCGGCCAATGCCAATGCCAATGCCAACGCCAGTCACCACTCCACCATGTCGTCACATGTCATTGAACAACAGCCAACAGCAGCTGTGGCGGCGACAGCTGCCGCTACTCTGGACACCACCGATGTATCGTGCGGTGGCAGTGGTCAAATAGTCAGCATAGCTGGGCTCGGCGCAAGTGCCAGTGATGCTTTAATTGTTCCTTCAAGCGCTGCGACGAAACGTAACAAATTGGCGTCGTCCAAATCAGCGCAACGCAGTGTTGAAATTGTTGTCGATGCGTCACAATGTGACGCTGGCGATGATGGCGTGGGTGACAGCAAGTCAGGCGATGACGTCGAACAAGGGCGGCGTATGTCGCGACATCGGCGTCGACCGTTGCATCGGCGATTTTTCAACTACCTGCGCAATTTGTTTCAAGGCAGTGCCGCTCAGCATGGTAAGTGGAATTGTGTGTGTACTTGTAGATATGTGTATGTGTGGGGGGCGAGTGTAGTGATTTTTGCTACTCAATGGGAATAAAAAATAAAACTTAGGATTTTGGTTTTGTTTTTGTTTTTTTTTGTTTGTATTTTCATGCCGAATTTTCACAACTTTTGCATTTTAAAACCCAAATTCATGCGTTGACAAATGTATACTTGCTTAGCTGTAGGCCCAATTTTTTTGAGCTATAGGGATTGGATCAAAATGCCTTCCTTGGAAGAATTGTTGGCCATCATATCTTCTGTAGATGGGCCAACATGGACGGTGCAAACCCGTTTTGAGGACCTAAGTTGTTAGTTGATATCGTAACCTCATTGACGTCAATCAAATTTTTTAATGTGAAACTTCTTTTGAGACTTCGAAGACTGTGTCGAACATTTAATACCTAAGTGAAGGAGGAATATAGTGAATATGTGAACAGAAATGGACGTTTTACGCCCCGGGCTAATTGCAAAGAAAAAAACAAAGACTAACAGCCGCACTCAGAAACATTCATTAAATTAGCTCTAATTAAATATTTAATATTTTGCTCATTTAATTCAATTTCCTAAAACTTGTAGTTTTTTTGTTAAAAAAAAATATATATATTTTTATAATATCGTTTAATTTTCGCAAAAAGTTTTCTTAAAAAAAAACAACAATTTACATTTTGGTAGAATTTGTAGCTACTATTTCGGAGACCACCACATCTCCTCATCAGACTTCACTGGGACTCGATCCAACGATCCCAGCGTCCAAGGCCATTAGTCTACAAACTGAGCTAAGTTCGGCATATGACACCAATTTAAAAAAAAAAAAATATATATATATTATATATATTATATTGTATTCCGAAAAAACAATACATTTCTCGAGATTTCTTGCAACAAGACCGAAAGATCCTAGAAAACATGACTTTGCTTATATCTCGAAAACTATTTTTTGAAAAATTAAATGGATTCATATGCTGGCCTCAAATTCATCTAAAAAGTTTAAGTTTAGTAATAAAATAGCTCTAAATTTGTGCTACTATATACTAGTAGCGTTTTTAGATTTTTTGTTTTTAATATTTTCTAAGTAAATAAATACCACTTACATATCTGCCATTTTCTGCAGGCAATCTTTTCACACACATTAGCCGAATTTCTAAGCTTTCAACTGAACAGAGAATAATAACGTGATCTATCGCGGTGATACAATAAATTCCTTAATATTCTACAAAAATTCCAAATGAAAAATAATCGCTGAAAAACCGCTATTTTCGCTACATTTTAATCAAACTTTTGCTTAGTAAAATTATAAAAAAAAATTTACACTTAATTGCATTATTACCTTCACTCTAAAAAATCTGCTTAAAAATGCGACTATAAATCAAGTGTATTTTCGTTTAATTTTAAAAAATTTTGGTAAATTTACACATCATATTTTGAATTTCATACGTTTGCAAATATTTTATGCACCGAATTAAGAGAATATTTAATTATTCTTCTTACTCGTATTGATATAATTTTCTTCACTTAAAAAGAGATTTCGAGGATTGAGGTTTAATCTACACCCCTTCCAATCAATTGGATTTTTTAATGATTCACTATACATACATAGACTTTATTCTGATTAATTTTAAATATTGCTGAAAAATCAGTCTAAAAATTCATTTTATTTGGTTATAACAAAATTATGTATGTATATTAAAATTGAACAAGAGGTTGCATTAAATATTAAACAGAAAAATACCGCAAATAAAAAGCTGGTTACTGCAAAATTTATTCAGAGAATTCTAAAATTCACTTTCAATTTTTTAAAAACCAATTGACTATTCTAAAATCCAATTTACGTTTTCCAAAATCCAGTTTGCTATTCTAAAATCCAATTTCCACTGTCTAAAATCCTTTCCGAAATCCAACTGGAAATTATGTAGAAAAACTATTTTCTGAACTTTGGTTCATTAACCGTGCTAGGTGGTATAAATTGAAGTGCAAACGTGAAGCATTCAAACTAATGTACTAGCACAACCAAAAATGTTTTAAAATTAAATGCCAGGAATAGACCGCAGTCGACTGCAAGAATCATAACATCCTACAAATTCAACTCTCACAATGAACAGGACTTATCATTGCAGGTGTAAGTTGTATATGCCTTGTTGTCGCATGATTACATTCAAATATACATACGTTTATACATATTTGCATTGAAATGCAAACAGCGCAATTTTTGTTGTTTTGCATTAATTATCATAATGCTGCAGCATTTTCGTGTTTTATCTCGACTCGGTTACGGCCACTATTATGCTCTTGATAAAATAAAAACACAATGTAGGAGGCAATAATCCATATGTTTTATGCTACTATGGGGCACTGCAATGACAACCAACTGCATAAACGCACCTTGACCTCAGTAACTGCCCAGCAGCCGCACTCGATTACTATTCTACATTTCACCAGCCTTTGACCATCACCATTCAAAGCCGCAAACGCCCTCTCGTTCTCGTACTTGCATGCAAACTAAATAAAAAAAAAATATATATATATTTTTACATGTACTATATTTGCTTAAGCATACTTGTATACATATGTACATATGTACATACATACTACATATGTACCCTCTAGGAAATATTCCTCCATGTATGTTGTACACTTTCCAAGGAAGCATGAAAACATTCCCATTTAACTTACTATGTCCTCGTCGCTGTCCATGGAATGCATGGCAAGACTTTTTTTCCAAAAAGCTTTTCAGTAAACTTCCTCAAATCTTCCTTAATAGGTGAAGTGGAAACACTGTTTTCACTCTGTTTCCATAATCCATATGCAGCGAAGAGGAATATTTCTATATTACTTCCAAATAGAAACTTTTCATATTTTTCCTGAAGGTATTTGTACGTTAGTGAGGAAAGCGCATTTCCGTCCATGGCAGCCTTCTCGAAACATACAAAAACCACTACTGTGCACTGAATGTAGTAACCAACTAACCAATGCCATGAGAACTGTGAGCAGCTGCGCAACTCACTGTGGTTTCGTGAGTTGAAAATCATGAAAAAATTTAGTTTGTATATTCGTTGAAATGGTATCCATGTAGTTAATCGCATTCGGTTTAGCATCAGTATGGAAGGGGCGTTTGACAATATGTCGCATTCTAGAGTGCGTAGAGCACTAGAGAAAAGAAACGTGCAGCCAGAGATCTGCAACTGGGTAGATACGCTGTTGCGTACTAGAATTGCTGAAACCAAGTTTGGGGACAGCGTGGTACAACTACTAACAACAAAGGGCTGCCTTCAGGTAGGGGTTTTATGCCCCCTTCTGTGGAGCTTGGTGGTGGATGAACTCCTTCAGCTTTTCTCCGACAATAGTATCCGTTGCCACGGCTATGCGGATGACATAGTGATCAATGCCAGGGGAAAGTTTAAGAGCACCCTCTGCGATATTATTCAAAGAGGTCTAAAAGCATAAACAGACGGCAGCGTTGATCCGGATCAACTCGGGAATTAACTGCAGTTGATACGGATAAAGTCCGAGTTAAGCCTTGAGATTAAAAAAGTGATGATGTGCCATGTTAGAGAGGCGGCAGCCATCAATCCAATTGGCCCATAGTCCTTCCTGGGAGTAGGTCCCAATACTATAAAGGAGGAGCTTAGTAGAGAGAGGTTCACACAAAGGGATCTTAACTGGCGCAGTTCGGGAGGAATGCGCCGAGCTAAGAGGGTTAACAAGAAGGGATTCTAAGGCTTAATAAACCTCCCAAAAGAAAGGCTTAGAATTTTAACAGGTTTTCTTACAGGACACTGCCGACTAATGGGTCACCTACATACGCTGGGCATATGGTTCAATGATCATTGCAGATTCTGTGACTTGACCAGCGAGACGCCGCTTTTCATTCGCACCGAGTATGATGCAGTCTGCAGAAGACGTAAGAGGAACCTATGCTCGTTATTGCCACAGCTTGAGCACATCCACTCCCTACCTCCTAAGGCGCTATTGAACTTTCTGAGGGACCTAGGCTTCGATGAAGTGTTGTGAAGAGAAGAGGGCACAATAGATCACCAGGTGTCAGTCCACACCTCACATTAATATCTATGGACCTAGCCACCACTGTACCGAGTGGTTAAAAGTAGAGCTGGCAAACTATCGATGTCAATATCCGTTTATCGAATTTTTTACTTCTTTGCATTACTGTCGTTAGTTTTTATCTTGTATCCAGCTTTTTTATAAGTTGCACGTCGCTTGTACTGACGCGCAAAGCTCTTGGCTTGGAAACTAAAATTTGGGTAAGCAAAATGTTTAGTTCAATGATTTTTGTTTTTGAATCAATGTGAAAATAAACATAGAAGTCTAAAAAAATCAAACGATACTCATGACGCAATAAACAGGTGAGATAATGAAACAGATTTCCCGTTTTATTTGCTGATATTCGGCTTCCTCAAAACTTTGAAGGGCAAATTTTTAAATCAGGCAATGTGAAATCTTTCCTCGGGCTCTTATTACTTCACGGTATTACCGATAGTATCGAATCTTTTCTATCTAAACAGCGAAATGGAACAGCTTCGATAATTTGCCATCTCTAGTTATAAGTTCGTACTACCACTCCGGTGGACCCGGGTGCGACCTCTGGCCCGGGCTGCATCTAAAATTAGTTTTAAAATTTAAATTTTAAATTAAAGTTGTATCTAAAGCTTCTCATAAAATCAGTTTCCCTTAGGAGATAGCGTAAGCTTGTAGATTCCCAAATTTTCAGAATTTCGAGGAGAAGCTCGGCCAAACACTTTGCGACAGTATAAACGTCAAATATTTATTATTTTTTAGTAAGGTGCTGAACTGATTTTCACTATACATATATGTGAGTTGTCATTTCAATGGTGAATTCTTAATGGCAATATCATCAAAAGACATAATTCGTTAAATAAATATTTCAAATTGGTTGGACAAACCACTCCGTCGCCTTGGTGTTAGGCTACCAATTATTTCTGGGATCCAGAGCTAATGC